TTCACTGAAATATTGCATGCTGAGTGTGCAACTTATTAAATAACCTTGCTGGAAACATTTTTCGAGTGATGCGCATGCGCACAGTCTTTATTCTCAAGCGGCTTTATATATATATATATATATATATATATATATATATATATATATATATATATATATATATATATATATTGTAACGGGGGGATAAATCTGCAAAAATGAGAAATTTATTTAAGAACAAACTCCCACGATGCAGAGCAAACCGCCGCTCCGTTAACACGTATGTTAATACGTGTATTCGCCTTAACGTCAGCTGACTTAACTTAGTTGTCTTCGATCAAGCAGAGTTGAACTCACCTTAAGTCACGTGCCTTGTGACACACGATAAGTTTCAAGTGTAAGCGACTTTACTCCAAATCCACTTAATCCCATAGCTATAATAGGATTAAAACCTAAGCTTTTTCTAATTGTTTAAACTACTAGGAAAAATCATATGACGAAATCGGCGAATAATTTTAATAGATTTTATTAATAAAAATCTCTACAGTCTTTGTCGGGCCGAAAGACTGACGCACGCGAATAGGATTTACAATTAAATAACTTTCGGTGAGAAAGAGAGAGAGAGAAGATACGAAAATTGGCGCGATCTAACGCTCGGCGCAAATACAAAAAATATCAACGCTAACACGGTTGAACAAAATACTAAATGTATTTTGTCACGCGATAATTAAGGGAGGTGCACCTACCCTGCGGTGCAATTACGGTGATCAGCCGTAATTGTTGATGTCAGGAAATACGATCAACTGCCTCTGGTCCTGATTTATCAGCTGCGCTGCCTCGTACCGCCTTTCTGCTGCAAATCTGCTGCTTTCGTAACGCCGCAATCTGTTTATCACCTTGATGCACTCGCGCGCGTAATTAATCTGTATAAAATGATTATTCGGCGAGAAAAACTGTGAAAACAAAATTCGGCGATATCCACTCCAATCAACAGCTGAGACGTAACTGTTAATTTAAAAGATCGCGCGCCCCCTCTCTCTCTCAATACTTAGAACTAACGCGCGAAAATCAGAATCGCGAACGGTTCGATTAATTAAATCGACTACCGTTGCAATATATATATATTAAAACGGTGGTGGTGCTTGCCCTTAAATCCACCCGTAGGATCCACCGATAATAGACGGGTATGCTCCGACTAGGTCAGTATAATTGTCAATCGACCAAGTGTCGATTGACCCGCGGAGGCGGTCGGGGTTTAACCCGTCGATTGAATTAGAGGTGAAGGATATGCAACGCAAATAAAGAGCTACGTTGTAGTAAAACGTTGGTAGATTTATTGTGTCAGCGACAATCCTTATACAATGTGCGACCTTCTCGCAGAGGTGCAATCAGGAGTTTCCGCCGAAACTCTGCGCCGCAATATAATTGATACCGCGTGAGAGAGAGAGAATGAGTCGTACCGTACTTACGAGCTTGCGAGCTTCGTCGACGGGAGGCTATCCTCCGGATCACCCTCGCACGTGGATCAGACGGTTTTACTTCGTGCCGTCGGCTGATCAACAAAGGGCTCCGTTGCTACGCGGCTGCAGGCATGCTGGTCGGATCACGGAGGTGGTGAGACGTCGTCGCCTCGAGCTCAATATTCGGATACCGATGTGAACACGTCGAGCGTAGCGAGACGAAAAGCCCCGATATCCGTTTGCGCGTTCGTAGGAGGTCTTCGCTATCGTGTTTCGGCAATCTTCGGTGATTGTCGGCTAATCGCTGTACTGTCTCTCTCTCTCTCTTTCGTCGTGACGTATAATCGTGTGTGTGTGTGTCCTCACACTTGCGTTGGCTCTCGGCGCTCGCGATGTATGTAACTTGCCGTGTTACAATATATACATATATGTAACTATTTATAACTAGAAGTCACTAAGAAATTGCAAGGTATAGTATAAATTTTTCTGACAATCAATTCTATAATGTGCTTGAAAAATGTCTATAATATTTGAAACTTTTTATAAATGTGATATTCCTGCAATATTTCTTGAAATATGTACAAAATATTTTAGAAAACATTCCTATATTATTTCGGAATATTTTAATATCCGTGCAAGCAAATTCAAAGAAATATTGTAAGGAAAATATTCGCAATATTTCTAGAAATTTTCCAGTGATATTGCGTGGACGCCTTTCAGAAAAATTGCTGCAATGTTTCTATAAATCTTTCGGTAGGATTGCAGGAAACCTTTTCGAAATATTGCAAGAAAAATTGCTGTAATGTTTCTAGAAATCTTTTGGTAGGATTACAGGAATTTTTGCAGAAATATTGTAATAAAAGTTGCTGCAATGTTTCTAGAAATCTTTTGGTGCTATGTCCGTGCCAATAAAGCCGCAGAAATATTTCGAGAAAAATTGCTGCAATGTTTCTAGAACTATTATAGGGAAATTGCATAGAAACTTTGCAGAAATATTGCAAGAAAAATTGCTGCAATGTTTCTAGAAATGTTTTAGCAAGATTGCAGAAAACCTTTTAGAAACATTACAAAAAATGTTATTGTAATGTTTCTAGAAATATTTTAGGAAAATTGCATGGAAATCTTGCAGAAATATTGCTATGTCCGTGGGGATAAAGCCGCAGAAAAATTGCGAGAAAAGTTGCTGCAATGTTCCTAGAAATATTTTAGGAAGATTGCATGGAAACCTTGCAGAAATATTGCAAGAAAAGTTGCTGCAATGTTTCTAGAAATGTTTTAGCAAGATTGCAGGAAACCTTTTAGGAACCTTGCAAGAATTGTTATTTAGAAAGATTGGATGGATGCTTTGCAAAAATATTGCGAGAAAAGTTGCTGCAACCTTTTTTGCAACATTGCTGCAGCTTCATTGCACGGACATAGCAATATTTTATAAATATTTCAATGAAAGCTTGCAGAAATGTTCCAAACCTTTCATGAAACATTGCAGCAATATTGCAGCAATATTACATGCTGTGTGGGACACTTAGTGCTGCAGGTAAACTTCTACCAAATGTTTTCATATGTTTGCAAGAGGTCAATGGTGTGTTTGGTCCAAAAATTGTGAAAGATATAGAGGCAATGTCGAAAGAATTTTCAAACATTTTTATAACTCCCTGGAAATCTGGAAAATTGTCATCGGCCTTGTTTCATTCATATACTCTTAATATTATGTTGCAACATCTAGAGTACAATCCATTTTTACTTCTTTTGGATAGCTGGAGTGGACAGAAAAATAAAAATTTATATGAAAAATTTATTGACGAGCACGGTAATCAAAGTTATACAGTTAAAGTTATTCCTCCTGGCTGCACAGCTTATGCTCAACCTTTGGTGTATATTTTCATAGACAAGCAAAAATTTTAATCAAAGAAATTTACAATCCAACATACCTTAAACAAAGAGAAGATCATATAACGTCAACATATGATATTGTAAAAATACAATTACTTATACACAATCAATTATCAGCTCCAATATTTAAAGAAATGATAACATATGCCTGATACGCTTCAAGAATGTTGAGTGATCGTGACGTTTTTATGAATGTTCGACAAGTTTGTTTCCCATTTGAACAAAGTAAATGTAAATGTAAATGCATGATGTTAATTTTCGTCAAATGTTCATGGTGTAGAAAATCGTTTTGTTTTGATTGTTATTACATTAAATATCATCCTAACGATTGTGAAAAATTTTTAGAACTTGGATACAACCACAATACATAAATCAATTTTGTAACTCATTCTATATGCTAATTTCTGTACTGTTTAAACACCATCTAATTAAAAAAAGGTTGTCACAAGTTTGCTTAATTTTAATATCTATCAATGAAAAAAATTTCCAATCTTCAGTTATTCGATTATCACGTCTGAAATTTTAGTGGTCCTATATATATATTTGTTAATATCAAAATTATAATTATCTTAATAATGTTCACTTTAAGATATCTAACTTGAACAGCTGAGCGATCAATTTTACCAATCGATTTTCAAAGATTCTGATTGTAGTTGGTCTGACGATCAATTACTAATTTCGATAGTAGAAACTACTGCAAATATTGTAAATAATCCATTTTCAGAATAGAAATATACATAAATTGTAAATAATTGAATTGAAACAGTATTTTATTTTTTAGTTTATTTAACGTGAAGAAACATTGAAAACACGTATTACAAGTTTTGAACAAAATCTTGAGTTGTCGTTAGAGATTGGTGTAAAATCAATGTCTTCGATGTTCATCGATAACGGACAAGGGACGTCGGGTATTATTTTAAGGTATACAAAAAGTTATTTCCAAAAATATGATATATGTTGTCGATGTATTTTTTAATGTCGAATACGATGGTACTATTAGATTTATCATAAAATCTATTCTGTCAAGCGCTAAAAGCAAAAAACTACAAAAAAACCACTAAAAACAACTAAGAAATTTAGTTTTTGGCTTTTAGCGCTTGACAAGGTGAGTTTTATGATAAACCTAATAGCATCATTGTATTCTACGTAAAAAAAATACATCGAAAATATGTATCACACATTTCGAAATAACTTTTTGTAGTCCTTAAAAATAACATAGTATCCGTTACGTCAGCCAAAGAGAGAAAAATGAATATATATGGATAATTGGTAAAAAAATGCCTATTCAGAGAAACTCAGAGATACGTATCCAATATTTTCGACTAAAAATGGTGTGTGCAAAGTTTCATCAAAATCCGTGACCCTTCAAGGTTAGCACTCTCCTTGTAAGTTTAACGATAAATGTTCTCTATCATGACATCCATTTTTTTGTTAGGAAATAAATCTTTCTTATACTAACAGAATAAACTATGTGTAAATCTTACGGGATTATAACGTAAAAAATGCAGGAGTGACACCCAAATACTATAAATAAAAACATCTCAACTTAATTTATTATTTTTGATAACATTTCGTTGGCATATCTTCCAGTCCCATCAGATCCTTTATTTAAAAAAGAAATCAATCGGCTATATAAAAATTTTTCAATACAAATAAATTATATGTACTCACCATTTGGCTGCACCCAACTATGCATTTCAGAGAGTAAATTTTGCCAAGTCAATATTTTTTCATAATGCTTTTTTATAAGTTCTTCTTTGCGTACTATTTCTATTTTTAAATCAGTAACATCTTCTTTAATGATAAGTTCTTGTTTTAAAGCTGACAGTAAAAATCGTTTTTGTAGAAAAAAAGCCTCAACTTGACGAGCTAAATCAATGAAGCGATGGGTGACTTGATCGACATCTAATTTTTTTTCTATTTCGACAGTTTTAAACCCATTAGTAAAGTATTCCGATGCATCGTCAATAGAAAATAGATTCAAACAATGCTGAAAAAATGAGCAATAGTGATATATTTCTTTAAATTGTATACAGTAAAATAGTAGATTTCATACTCAGGTCGGGTAAGTCCATAGCACGTGAGACTTGTAAACTGAGATAAAGTCGAGGTTGTCAAACACGTGCTACGGGCTGGGCATGCTAATATAGTGCGCATACAATTTCCTTGTCCAGCGAGATCGAAATTAAAATATTACCGGCAAAACCACGGCCGAAAATGCTATTTTCGGACTACTGAACAAAAAATTATATTTTTTTTATAAGAAATTTGGATTAAATAGTGAAAGTATTTACCATAATTGGATTTATTTAACTTTAACACATACATTTCAATTTCTATATCAATTATAATGTGTGATTTATAGCTAAAATAGAAGCCGACAAAATATATATAACTTTTTTGTTATATTTTTCTTTTCAATATATTGTCCGTACCAAAAGTAATCGAGAGTAGTCGACAGTAGCGAAGAAAATATATTTAATCGTATGAGTTTGCACCATAAGTTTGCAATGTTCCGTTTAAATGTAATAAATTACGAATTCTCCATCAAAGCATTTTAGTGCATTCTGACGCAAGCCAAATTAACAAGAGTTTGGTTTGAGAGTTAATTTTGCTATAGTGCTAAGTTTTTCTTGAATATTCGTGCAAGTCTGAAATACGCTACTTAATTTGCCGTTCTTTTACACTGAAAATTAGTTTATATTCACTTACATTAGGGGAAAACAGTAAGAAAAGCACGTTGCTGCGCGACACAATACTGTAGGCTCGTTTAAATTCTTACCACGTAGCGTTGTTCGATGATACATAATTTTAAAGCTTTAAGCATTTGGTTTTAAAGATCACATAAGATCTTTAGAGGTTCGAATTAAATAATCAAATTTTCTAACAATATAAATAAATTTACGTCAGCCTTATTCGAAAATATTGAAAATTGACAATATTATTTGACTTTGAAGATTACACTTAAATATACGCCAGTATTAACTCACGAGATGCTAAATAAATTCATTTTTTGTTCATACAATTGTTACAATGATTCATATACAATATATGCGCAGATTATAATTTAAGGAAATTCAATAAGTTATAGTAAACTACTGTATAAGAAGTTAATTAATTATGTCAAATTGAGGATGTCGTTCTATCTCAAAAAGCATTAACTGCAAAATGATCTTTGAGCTGAATACACTGAATTAATAACAAGTAATACCGAACAAAGACAGTGTCATCGAACGCAATCGGTGTCTGGAGAGCTGTATAAGCAAAGACACTTGGGATTGTTTACTAAAAAGGCACTTGGGAAAGAAGTACTTGGATTATAGTAGTCAGTTCTCAGATTATTGCTTATTATTATTAGTTCTCTGGATAAACTTTGGCCATTAAACTAGTATCTCGCACTTTATATATAGTAGTATTCAAATATATTTAAACTTCATGCTAAACTAGGCGCTTTATAACAAACAGCTAATTAATACTTTGTGACGAGAACAAGCGTTGCGCATTCCCTCTCTCGGTAAGGCACGGTGACCAGCGTTGGGCGCATTTAAAAATGCACCTAATGCATGGTCTTTGTTTCAGCCGACAGAGATTGCCGAGCGAGGACGAGCCTGCTCGAAGTCGTTTAGTGGACAACAAAGATAGGTGTTAGAAAGAAAGAGAGAGAGGCGCTTGCGTGCCCCACGCAGGATTAGGCAGGCGCGCGACGCGTAACCAATTAGCGTATTGGTCGCGCACCGCCTAATAAATAAGTCAAGTGGGGAGGGAAAGAGCGGGCAAAGAAGCTGTCGATTGCGGAAGCGAACGAGCGGTTAGACGGTTTTTAGTCGCTCAGCGGTACAGTTAGGAAAAGTGCAGAGTGCAGAGGTTAGCCGAACGCACACGCCGCCAAGGAACTGAGGTGAGAAGCCAAGAGGAACAAAGGACAAGTACCTTTTCCAACATCTTCCCAGGGACGCTACCCGAAACAAGCCGGCAAAGAGTACCCAATGAAGGCCAGTAAAACCATCCGCAGGGCACAGTCAGACCTCCCGTTCCCGCATAGATAAGGTCAAGGTTGATTCTCTTTTATTCTTTCTTTCTCTCTCTCTTTAGCGGTATGGTACAGTGAGTAGCTGTGAGAGTTAGGTAGGTGGCAATGCATTAATGCGCCGGCTATCTGCTTTAATTACGGTTGGCATTCATATTTCTTAAGGTAGCGTACCGTCCAGGCGATCCTTTCGTCGGGCGGTTTCTCTTACAATTAGTTTAAGTAGGCTAAGTCGGTTTGTCGTCAAGGCGGTCACCTGTCTAGCGACATGTTCCGTATGTCGGTTAGATTTTGTAAGCTCGGTAAATGAGATAATTTGTTTTCTGTTCTTTTATTACATAGTATGTGTTAAGATCACCGTTGTGTTCAGTAGGGTTAAGGCATGTCTGTAACACCGTTGTGTTCGTTAAAGATTAAGAGTTTGTAAAGATTGTAGAATTTATAATTATACGGTATGTTCATTTAACGGTATTTGAAGTGTAATATTTTTGGTTAATTACATTTCTTTACCTTTCTCTCTTCCCCCCTCCTCGATTGCTATGAGAGAGTGCGCTTCACTTGCCCACCTTTTAAAATTGATAACGATAAAGTTTCGTTACAACTTTTTTTATTATCTCTCTTTTCTCAAGGTTCGCAAATTATTAAAATTACTGATACTAATTCTTAAATTAATTGAGATCCATCCTGATAGGAGCCCAATGGCATGTAGACTATTTTATGTACATTGATGAGCAATTTGATACCATATAACTGTTCATTACGCTTACGTAGTTATTCATTTTTTATTCACAACGTAACGAATTTCATTTCAAACAAGTAGTAATAGTGTCATCAGCATAAGACGATTGCATTTTCCAGCAATAGATCATTATTATATATTATGAACAGCAGCGGTTCAAGAATGATTTTGTGCGGTATACCATGTAAAATATATTGGTTGTCTTACTTTCAGAAGTTTGATACTTGACGAATGCGCAGAATAATTAATGATCACTATAATTTGAGTCGCTTTGTTCCACTGTCGTTGGCAGAAAGTGCTGCGCTAAGATTGACCGCACAAATCGGCGCGCCCTTCAGGCATAGCGGAGCAAGCTTGCAGCCCGAAGGCGGAAGAGGCCGTACGACCCTGTCAGCGCAAGATGCGGTCAGAGGCGGTGACTCAAGGACAGTCTCGCGATCTCCGCGCTGGTCTAGCAGTAGTAGCGGCCGCGAAGGCAAACCAAAGGGAGGCCAAGGAGCAAATAGTGTCCAGGTGATCACTCCAAAGTTCGTCAAGAATAAGGACAAGGAACCTGGTCTGGACGTAGTCAAAGTCCTATGTTGGTACTGTAGCTTGCCTGGTTACATTAGAACCCGCTACCCTGAATGTTCCAAGACCACTAAATAGGAAAACGAGATGGGCAGCGCGTAGAGGAGGTTCCTACTACGCAGCCCTTAAACCACGGTACTTTGGAGGCGATTAGAACTGTGAGAGTTGCGCATGTATCGCCAAGCGTGACAGCTAACTCGATGCTAACTACGAGCCACTCGAATGCCGCGCTTAGTCATGGCAATGAAGGTATTATATGAAGTACTTTCGTCGAAGAGCACCCGTGTTGGTGGCTGAATGTACATTTCGGCCCCTTCTCATTTAAAGCCTTACATGATACGGGAGCATCATTTACCGTTTTTGGTCCCATCGGAGTAGAGATAACGGTAGCCTTCATCTTAAGGGTGTCACATTACTCTGCACCAGGAGCAAAAGCAGTTGATGGTCACCACGTGCCCGTTTTAGGCAATGTAAAGTTGCTCTTTGAAGTAGGCGGCGCCTTTATTCGAGCCTTTTCGACAAATCTCGACGTGAGAGCTAACACGCTGAAAGTCGAAAGCAGTGAGGACATCATCCCTGGCAATTGTATCTGGAGATACTATGGGTCCGTTCCCGAAGTCGACCCGGGGATTCGAGTACCTGTTGATATTTCTGGACTTGTTCACTCGATGGATCGAATATATACCCGTTCGTAAGGCAAATGCCATAATCATAAAGCGCTCGCTAAACGAGCGGATACTTTTGCGCTTCGGAGTATCAGACGTGTTCTTGTCTGATAATGGCACGCCATTCAAAAATCGGTTAGTGGACGACTTTCTCGAAGCACAAGGAGTTTTGCACGTGACCTGCGCCTCTTATTCGCCCAAAAGTAATCCCACGGAGCGAGTAAACCGGACGATCAAAACAATAATCGCCGCGTTTATCGAGGAACGGCACACTACTTGGAAGTGCATGTAGCCGAATTTACCTTCGCCTATAACACGACCATTCCCGAAGCTACGAAATGTAGCCTAGCCTTCCTCAATTATGGGCACAATCCTGAGTCACCGCATTCAGCACGACGAGTTGAAGAACGCGCTATTACCGAACAATTCGAGTCTGACGCGCTCGACGATTGGCGTCTTCGCATGCAAAAGCTCGGGGGATTTAGAGCTAAAGCCCATAAAAACTCCCAAGCTGCACAAGTGAGGCAGGAGAATTATTATAACGCAAAGCACCGTGACGTTCGCTATAACGTCGGTGATAAGGTCTGGGCCCGAAATCGCGTGCTTTTCTCTGTAGCACAAGCTGTCGCAGTTAACTCAGCCCGAAATATGCTGGACTTTTTTTCGTAACATCGCATCTGGGTGCCAACACGTATCAACTCCAAAGCGAAGATGGAGTTGATGTGGGTAAAGCCACCGTATGCGATCTTAAACCCTGCTACGTCGAGGAGCAGTTTTCCGAAAAAGCGGGGGACGACGATTTCCCTATTAAAAATGATGATTGTAACGCAGCATCCCTCGAGTCCAACACGGAACCTGCGATTTCCCACGACTCTACTTCGAGCCCTGCCGACTCTAGCCAAGCGTCTGCGACAACGACGCCGAAAAGACGAGGTCAACCACGCGGCTCCAAGAAAGTCGCGTTAGCGATGATTGTTACATCACCGCGT